TGCGCACAATTCTTGCTTTCATCTTTATTTATTTATTGGTATGGCAAGAGAGGAATTTCTTGTCCAAATACAAGCTTACTCTGACGGTAGAAAATCGTGATAAATCCACTACTTCATGGACTGAAAGGAGTGGAAATGGAAACCTATTCTTATAGCACAAAATTAATTTGTCCTATAGATTAATTCCCCCTTGATAACCTTTACTTTACTTCATAGAAATGAGGTGGATACCAACGGAGTAGAGAAAATTTCTCATTTCTCCAGTGCCAACCATTTCTGCAAAGAGTGAAGACTAAATGTCTATTTAACAAAAAGATAGAGGGATGGTTGTGGAGGATGTATAATGTCAAAAACTCAACAACAGTGAAGTGGAATAGTGCCATATACTTTCCAAAGCCAAAGAAACAGTGGTGCTTAGATGTTAATTAATTGCAATTTGGTTTGGTTTTGTGTACAGCATGGCTACACATAATATCTCACTAACAGTTTTCAAGTTCATCATCACTCTGCATTATATTCTTTCCTAAATCCTCCTTAATTTAACCAGTCTTTCTTTGGAACTTTTCTACTTGCTTTGGGTAAATAGTTTTTGTTGGAAATTTCCTAAACTCCATATTTGTGAGATGATCTAGAAAGCTTGTGATAACAAAATTGAAGAGTAAGCATTTTAGACAGGAACAATGGATTCTCCTTGGGTCATATAAGACAGTAAATGAAGTATAAGAAATTACAAGTCCAGGAGAGAGAAAAATTATCTATCTATCTGTCTACTTATTTTTTATTTACATATGGAGACAAGATGTTGCCCAAGTGCTAAATTGCTCAGGCTCAACTCAAATTTTCAGTAGTCATTCCTCAGTCTCCCTTTGTGCTGAGATTATAGGCATGCACCACTGTGCAAAGTAGCAAACATCATTACATGTTAGTCCTTCTCAAAATGTTTAGTTTAGCTTATACATGCTTCTTTTATAAAGAGAAGACAAGATTGATATATCTTTCTTTCTTGTGAATCAAGTAAGTGAATCACATTTATCAATAGTGGTCTCATTGTTTATACCTCCCATTTATTTCTTATTGGGAACCCAAAATAGTGGAGGAAAAAATATGAGCTTTTAGACAGAGAAATCTGGCAGAATGTTGATTCTTCTGTATTGAAAAAGTTATTTAATCCTAATAAGGTCTAGTTATCTTGTTTATAATTAGGCAGTATTTGTGAGATTTTTAAAATATCTATAAATATTTTTATCCATATACATACTGTATAATCATATATATATAATTGTGTTATACAAACAATACACACACACACACACACACACACACACACACACACACACACCTAAATGCAAAGCTCAGTGCTTGGCACAGACAATATAAATGAATTTATTCAATCAGCCTCTTGAATCAAATGACAATTTGCTTACCAAAATCTTCCCTTCAAATCATGGGCATTGCTATTCCCTACGTCATTTGGCCCTCAGACTTTGTATAGACTAAATGAGAAGACACAAATGACCATCTCCTGCACTGATTCTAAACTCATCACTTGAATTCTTATGAAATGCTGTTGCTGATTATTAGTTATGAAGTAAACATAGACGATTGTTATATATTATTTCAGTAGTCACTATAAATCACCCCTCACATCTGCCAATTTAGAGAAAAATATTTTTCAGACAATATGCACCTATCAAAAACAAATACTTTGACTATAACACCAAACTATTAATACAGGTACATCAGATACTTTTTAAAGGATATATATATATATAAAATTATTTTGAAGTATTTCTCTAAGAAAACAATTTTAAATTGGAAAAGTATCCAATAAACTAAGAACTCCATTTTATTTCCCACGAAAAAATGAACTGATTTTTTTCAAAGGGAGAAAAGAATTTCTAAGGAAAAGAAAATTAGATTTTGCTTGTGACTTTTAAAGCCTAAGTAAACATATTTGTTTTCCAATTGACAATATTGTTCATTTTTTAAATTAAAAAAAAAAGAATTTTAAGTATTTTTCTTGTTGTAATTTTACCCTTCAAAGTCACTTAAAATATGCCTACATTTAGAAGAATATGAGTGCTGATACATTAATTCTGATTTAAATAAATTTAAATCATGCTTGTAGTTTTTATTATTCCAATTATTAAATATTTTAACAATCTGATAGTAATGGAAAGCAGTTAACATAATAGCATTTGTTAGTTAAAATGAACCAAATGTGTTGTTCAATTAACTATACTTTAAAAATCTTTGAATTTTTATAACATAGGTGTCCTGCATGATAGCATTTGAGAGCTTAGATTTTTAAATGTCGAAAATCAATTCCAATGAATAAAGTTCACTGTAAGTAAAATATTCACAAGCAAATTAATTTCATTTTATCTAATTTTTATATTAATTTGTTAAAACTTCTGATAAAAATAGACCAGTATAGTGTCTATTATCTAGTTGTAGACAAGGGAGACAATTTGAAATATTTATTTCCTAAACTGTTAACTTCATAAAGTTCTGTAACATCCAATGACCCTTCTGAACAGCAACATTTATAAGAAAATAAGATCAATATACAATGTATTTAATTGCCTAATAATTTATTTTCACAGAGATCAGCTAGAACATTTTTTGCATCAGGTTTAAATACTAACAATCTACTTTATTCTTTTTGTTTTGTTTTTCTTTTTAATTCTAGGACTCTTCTTGCTATGTAAATTCAGGATGTACAACATGATATTCTGGTACACATATATGTAATGAAGTATAACAACCCACTTTTAAATAGCCTGTCAATGTTTACTTATAATCAAATATGATTAATTTAGTCAGTTGGATCTTGGCAATACCTCCAGTAATGGGAAATTATCATTAACCCACATGTCTTAAGTGGAACAGCTTGCACCTTTATTATCTGTCCAGATGTTTTCATGTCAGGTCTGTAATGAAAAGCTAAGTCTCAAACAGAGGTATTAGAAGACACACAATAGGGCCACTGTTCCCTGGAATAAATCAAATTTTCAATAACTCTTACGGTAATTTGAGGGTTTGTATTACATAATCCCTCAACAAACAATTACATTCTATAGATGTTTCATCTCACAATCCATTCCTGGTACTTTAATATACATAACCCATAAAATAAATTAAAAGTAAATCAAAGCAGATGTTTGAAGTTCCTGATTTATGAAGGATCCATGGAAAACTTAAAACCTGGATTAATGTCAAATATTTACGTTGCTGGGTTTATAAGCAGAGGTGGGTTAAGAACTGACATATCGAAAATGCTGTGTTCTATTCACTCAACCCATTCATAAAATGCCTTTCTGTTACGCAATGGGAGCACTTTGCTTGGTTAAAGAACGCAGTTAACGCTGTTTAGCGTTAACTGTCCACATATAGAAAAGAGAACTGTACTCATTTTTACTTGAAAACAAACTTAAACCAGACGCTTAAGTACAGGCACCTTTGTACCAGAGTCTTTTGTATTCCTCGAGGAAGCAAATCCCACAGTGTTGCTTAAATGGGGAATCCAAATAAATACAATAAATAAGCAAGCACCTCACATAGGAAAGCTGGGGTCAGAGTCTCAGGGATGAGTGAACCAGCTATGTGGGCATTGATAAAGGGCTGCCATGGCTCGGGTCAACCGAGTCTTACTGTGATTTCTATTTTCTGCTGATACTGGGACACTAGAAAAAAAGAGGACTTTGGGGACTACTACATTGGCTTCCCTTTTCTTAATGTGTCCATCAAGCAGAATTCCCTCTTACCTAGATGCTGATGAAGATTTCTCAACTCCGAACCTCACTGATCTGCCTTAAATCCCTGAGAATTTAAGTCGCAAACCTGGGAAGCAAAGAGGGACGAGCAATGCCACCAGGAGGTTGCACGCTGCCTTGACTTTTGTTTGCTCCGGTTTTCGTTTTAGGTAGACACTCTCATACCCGAACAGCCCTACCCCTTATTCAGACCTCCCCAATCACAACCCCAGGGAATGTGGAGGACCCAACTCTGACCCCAGAAGAACACAGCCACCTCTCCAAGAGTGGCTGCATAGACCTCCCCTTAGGTAGGGCAGTTTGTGCTCCGGATCTAGGAGAAAAGCATCTCTCTGAATTCCTCCCGAGGTTACTCTTTCTGTACTGACCCACCTGCATGGGCGCTTCGTGTCTCATTGTAGGCAAATGTTCTTTCTCTCTGGCTAGGACAGCGCTGGCCCGCGCTCCTTGTCAAGCGTGCAGCCGGCGCGTTGCTGGGTCCACACTGCACTCTTGGGTTTCTCTAACCGGCTCCAACATCAGCACCGGAGCTGTCCCCTCCTGGCACTGCGCACGCGTATTAGCCGGCAGCCCCCTGCGCTCCTGGGAGTCGTAGTCCATTTTTGCAGGGCTTCCATAAACACGGGAACACAGAGAACTACATCTCCCAGCAAGAACGCCCAGAACAGCTCTCTCCCGCACGGGCAGCGGGCCGCGGAGCCTCCCTCCGCTGCCTTTCGAATCGCTCCTAGCTATTATTACTGCTCTCAGCCTCGCGTATCGGTTTCCTCGCCAGGCACCGGCGAAAGTGACCCCGATTTGTCCCAGCTGGAGACTTTTCTTAGTTAATTGTCCCTTCGGGAGCCAGACCGTGCTTCCCTGGATAGGAAAGGCAATAATACTTCGTGCTTATTTCCAATACACGCGAAGCGTTCTGAGACTCTCCCCTTTCACCCCTCTCCACCCGGATTCCGGAAAGTTTACACATTTTCATAGGCTGAATGGGGTAATTTTCAATCTTATTCAACAAACAAGGGAGAAAAGGACGCTGAGGAGCTCGCGTGGAAGAAAAGTTTATCTACATACTGCACCGAAAAGATGCGCGCGTCCACACATACAGGGGCACACGCACACACACAGGGACACACGCACATACACACACAGGCACAGACAGGCACACTCGGCCCGAAGTCCGCGAAAGCGAGGTTTTTCGCTGGACACGCTGAGAAGCTCGCGGCTGCTTACCTTGCCGTACAGCTCCATTGCAACTCGAGGTTCACAAATTCTCAAGTTAATCTTGCTCCCGACGAGGGTAAGGGCTAAGGCGGGAAGCAGAGCTAAAGCGCAAAGACACAGCACAATGGAAGACGGGGTGGCGGCGGCGGCGGGCGGAGAGAGAAAGGCGGGTGGTGGAAGGACCCCTGAACTGGAGGGCCGGCTCCTTTCCTGGGGAGGGAAGTGCGGACTCTGCAAGTGGCAGCTGCAGAGACAGGGCTGCGAGTCTCCGAGGAAGCGCCGGGCAGACCGCGCCGGCTGCCCCTCCCCGCACCTTCCCGCAGCCGCCTCGGAGCGCGCCTCGCCGTCCCTGCCGGCCCGGGCGGGGGCGGGGGCGCTCACAGGGCGCTGGGTTATTTACCCAGAGCGAGTCACATAAAATGAACACATTCATCACCAAAGCCCAGAAGCACAGCCAGGAAATGAGACGGGAGACCTCTATTAAGTTATCCTGTCCTTTCTTTAACATAGAGCCATTTCTTACACAATCACACTTCTAGACTAGTTCATAACACGGTTTTGAAATCTCCGAGCTGTACTTTTGTTACGCTTGCCGTTTCCTGTGGGTTGATTGATATGTATGACTCTTTCTATCCTGTGCACCTGTCTACACGCAGCCCTCTCCGCCTAAGAATGAACGTTGATTGTCCAACAATGATCTCTGCCTTGGCACGAGGTAAATTTATTATTGGGAGGCAGAGTACAAAAGAGAATGGAAGTCTGTTTGCAGGAAAGCAAAGAAGGAATGACCTGAATCAGCTTTAAACTTCACTGCATTGGACAAACCAGTAGAATGGAGGTTCTGGAATTTAAATGTGCCTGACTGTCTCTTGGGAGAGAGGGCTAACATTAATATTCTCAAGCCAGGTGTAGAGATTCCGATTTACTAGATCTAATGAGAAGTCTGGGTATTAGCCTTTGAAAAAAAAGCACTTCAGCAATTCTGATACAAGCAGTTCTTTGAAATAATTTGAGAAACATTGCCTTAGAAGAATTTTTATGTGAAATTTTTTCAAAGATGAAAACCTTGAAATTCCTCATAGAGATTCAACAATGCATCAATCATGTATTTTAACTCATCTATTCTAATTATCCAGTTCATTTGAGCCTTGGTTTTGTTTTGTTTTGTAGAAATCTAAGCGCTGTCTTCTAATCATACAGTTTGAAAGAATGTATTGTAATTCATCCAGGTAAATAAGTTTTATAACTTCTCAGAAAGTACATTTTAAAGTGTTCACCTCAGAGTTGAGGGTTATGTGATATTGGAGAACTTTAATTTAAAATATCTAATAAAATTAAAAGATAAAATGGAATCCCATATCAATGTGTTTCATAATAGCAGCTTCCTACAAGAGTTCTGCAGTTCTTAAATTAAGATATATCTAATGTTATATCTTTTTATAAGTTATTAATTTTTCAAGACAAATATCAGTGAAATACTATAGTTACATGTAGAATTGTCATTAATATTTCACAGTTATTTAGAATTGGCTTTCTCAATGTAATTTTGGAAATTATTAAAATTCTTAAAATTCAGAGTGCAATATAGACATATTTAAATACTAAGCATGTTCAATTTACCTATTTTCTTTGAGAAATATATCTCTTGTCAGTCTTTTACTAAAATAATATACATCCTTGGTTTGAAGTATGTCCTATTTGTGAAAAGATCCATGGAAATTGAGTTTAAAATTGTACATTTGTAAAAGGTTTTTGAAAACTTATTTCTATCCTAGTCATAGTATTTGCTGTAGTCAGGGTTGGCAAGGAAACCATTTCCATACAAGACACATAATCGACAGAATTATTTTATAATAGTCACCCAAAAAGTTAAATACAAGAAGTGCAGGAAATCTTTACACACAATAAGACCCAAGGAATCAAGTTGAAGACCTGGACCTGGATCACATGGCAATGTCCTGCATGAGTACAGCTGAAGACCTAGATAGAGACCATAACAGTGCCCCTCATGAGTCCAACTAGAGACCTGTAGTCCACAACAATGTCTCATGCAAGTCTGTTTGATGGAACTGTGCTGGGAAGCCCAAAGGTGAGAGGTGGAAGCTAGAAAGTCTGTATCACCAGGGTGAAGGATCTGTGCCAGTAGGTTGAGGATTCTGCAGTGGAGTCAAGACGCAATGCTCAAAGTAAAAATCAGAACTCCCTCAAAAAGTATTACCACCATCCTCAGTGACAGCAAGGACCCGAGCTCCTCCAATGATCTGAACAGCTGAGTTCATATCAGGAAGCCAGCATGATAAGCTTCTCCAGGAGACTGAATAACACACTATCTTCCCCTCTGGAGCCAGAAAATGGTGCTCAAAGTATGCACAAGGGCTCCCCCAAAGTGAACCATGGTCTTCTCAGCAACAGGAAGGTCTCAGGTTTCTCTGACAATTAGAACTGACAAGCTCATATCAGGAAAGAAGATCCACAAGCTCTTCCAGGAGAGCCAATGGCAACAGGAGAACCAACAACACTATTCTTCCTCTCCAGTTCTCCTTTTTATCTTGACAACAATCCTCAGGTAGGGCATCCACATTTAGCGCCATGCTGATTTAGTTAACCTGATACTAGAAGTTGATCACCAGTAATCCATCCACCACAATGCTTTAACTGAGTAGGAGGTAGGTAGAAAAAGGAAAATAAACTATATCCAGAAATCTACTGAACAAAAGTGAAGTGAAGCTGACAATCTCCCTAACGCAGAGCAACAACTGAGCACTTTGACTACGTTTCACATCAGATCATCATCTAGGAATTGCCCTCCCAAAAGTACCCAAGTCTTCTGGAGCTCCAGCTCTCACAGCCACAGCCCAGTCAGCATAAAGGAAGAAAAGATCAGATGGCAGTACCTCATCCCTTTATAACTGACATCACTGCTCTTAAGTTCTGACATCTACCGTTCAGTCTTATATGTTCTAAAGGAGGATAGGAAATGGCTTCTTTCAGGGAACACACCTCTGAATAAAAGATAGGAATGCTGATACAAAGAAAGAAGAAAAGAATGGACTGAAAGGCATTAGAAGCAGTGGGTAGTCTGTCACAGAACATCAAGTGACTATAAGATAAAGTCTGCCACTTCCTCCCCTGCACAGTTGTATTAAAATCTGCATTTCTAAGTTAAAAATGTACCTGTTTCCAGGGATCTTTGTTTCTGTTTTTGAGACAGGGTCTTTCTATGTAGTTCAGGCTGGCCTAGAACTCTCAGTGATCCTCCTACTTCAGCCTCCCAAATTCTGGGATTACAGGTTTAAGGTGCTATGCCTGACTGGGATCTTCATAATTTAAAAACAATAGAAGTCTTAAAATCAAGTGATTACCCAGAAGTTAGAGCATTATGGCTTTTGCCAAGGAAATGGGAAGAGGGGAGCCTTCTCCACTTACACTTGAGTCTGGGGTTAGGAGTGAATGTTAAGATGCTAAAAGGCAGAATGTACTTTATAGAAGAGAAAGTGCAAAACAGTGACTATCCCAGAATATGTGAAATGAACACCTTGCATGTTAGAATGTAGAGCAGGCCCAAAGCTGCTAAACCCCAACCAAGGTGGGTTACCTGCCACAGACTCTCGAGGGATAACTGGCATGAAAACTTCGAAATTGCTGTTTGCATAGTTTTTTTTGTACTACCCACATCATGACTTGGAATTTTTTTTTTGCTACCCTGTGTTTATTTAATAGTTACTAGTTTTACACTGTTGTTTATGTATACCAGTTTGTCTATTATTTATTTTGTTCTTATAAGTCCATGAGTAAATCAGCTTCATTGGATAAAATAGCCAGAAACAAGGAAAGTTAAATATTAATAACAATGATTTTTTTTGATGTCAAAAATAACAATAAACTGGATATCATAGCACATTTCTATACACTCAGTACTGAGGAGACTGAGGCAGGAGGATTGCAAGTTCAAGGCTAGTGTAAGCTACACAGTAACTTCAAGGCCAGATCCTGTCTCAAAAATAGCATAAAAACCCAAAGACATTTTATTCTACCATCATCATTATCTCTCTACTAGGATTCATGCTGAAAAAATCACTGAGGTGGTATAAAGATTAAGGACAACCCCTGGGGACTGACTGTCTTCCTCATGCAATCCTTTTCCAAATCCACATTCCAGAAGATGGCAGTGTATCTAATCTTACACATTTCTGGGGACTATCTCCAATGAAGTGGGAAATTCTTCTGGCCTGATCCTTATTGCCTTGGTCTGACTCACCATATTGAGGTTGGCTGTAATTTCAACTTTATGCAGCATCCAAGAAATGATATTGATTTCTTCAGGTTCCCTTAAGAAGAAATTAAATATTCCCAATGGCAGTATTGATTGTTTTAAAATTAAAAGGAAAATATATTTTAACTCATTCCTACACATGAGGTTTTCAACATTATTAGTAATCAATATCAGCATGGTGCTTCATAAAAATTAAATGAAGGTACTCCAAGTGAATGTAAAGAAAATAATATTTTCTGTCTAACAAATATGATTGTTAATGATAGTTCCTCTTTTTAGCACTGATACTATGATATGCACTATATTTATATTATTGCATTTCATCCTCAGTAATGAAGCATAGTAAAATTATTAACTTTATTTTTATAAAGAAGAAAAATAATAGGTAAAGAAGAGCTAAGTATTTCACCTAAAGAATATCGACTAGTAAGATGTTGAACCAGGACTTAAAGCTTAGCATTAATCTGATCCCAAAGCCTGAACTCTACCATATTTTTTCTTAGAAAAGATAATATTGCTTAAAAATAATATATTTTGTCATTTCTTTGATAGAACTTTTCTGTGTTTTTTTACTTGTTGACTTTGTTTTGGAATGAGGATACAGTTATAGCACCACCATAAAATTCCAAGGTAATTTTTTTAACTTATTCTTTTAAACTAGAAACTTGCCAACATTTTTAGATAATTATTGATTTGTTTGATCACTAGAAATATTATTAAGGTGCTTCATATCAAATCATCATTTGGTAAAGTATATATATTGTATTTCCAGCACCTAAAAGATAGTTGTAGGATAAGAAGTCCTATCATGAAAAAGAAGAAAAATTCTAAAGATTATGTCCCGTATTTTATACAAAGTATTTATTCAGCTGTAGGATTCAGACTGGCACCCTTGGGTATGAATTACGTACCCTACTTGTTTTTCAAACATTGAAAAACCAATGGGTAATTATTATCTTTTTAAAAAATCATTGCTCTTATAACACGATTATAATTTGCAGTAACACTTTTATAATTAAATTCAGACTTAACTCTGTGAAAGTAAGACGGTAAGACTTC